TTCATCTTGGTTTCATTGATCTTTTGTATTATTTTTTTTAATCGTATTTATTTCTGCTCTTTGTTACTTCCTTCCTTCCACTAGCTTTGGGCTTCCTTTAGTCTTCTTTTTTCTCATTCCTTAAGGTATAAAGTTAGGTCATTCGTATTTCTATTTTTTGTTGAAGTAAGTTGTGCTCTAGTCTAGAAATAAAAATTATTTGTTTTAGGTTTATAATCCTGTATATTATCAAAAGATATGCTAGGCTGCAGTTTATTACTAATATTTCCTTTTTTTCTTCTAAGATTCGGAAGACCACACTTATGATATCTAAAAGGATAAAACATATCCAAATGGGGAATATGTCATCCATTACCCCCAAGATCCAGGCTAGATGAACAGAGAGATAGTGAGTGCTTCAACTGTAAACCCAACTAACAGCTTACAAAATTAGCTTGAACTAAAGAGCTTACATTTATCTATTATTTATATCACTTCGCACAGTTGCCATTACATTATTCACTGACTGATAAAGAAGACTTTCAATATCTTATCGACCAGGAGAGCCATTCCAGTACAAACAGCTAAAGAGTAACCCTGGTTATACAAATCACACTAAATAGCCCTAATTTCCCTCTAAATTATCATTTTAAGACCACTGATACTTTCCATCCTGAAATATGCCTACTGGAACCAAGTGATATTCAGTTACTTTTTAGAAGTAAAAGTAACCCAAAAAGGAGATTTCCATACAGCACAATCTAAACAAGGAAAATCATGATGAAGAGCTTTCCACAGTAATGTTGCTAAATTTAAACCATGTTGCTTCCCAAATATTTACCTATCAGGCACCATCACCACCACCATCATCATACCATTTACTGATTATGTAAGAGCAAAATAGTTGCCCTGCATCATTAAAACATAAATGAACAAACATAAATAAACTTAAACTCTCGGTCAAATCATGCCATTCTCTTCAATGTTTCCACTCAGAAAAAAATCCAAATTCTCCAACTGCACTCACAAGAACTCCAGATCTGGCTTTTCCTCCTTACACCCTACAGCTAACAGCTCACAGGCCACTTCCTCGGATTCTTCCCTGCCTGCCCAACCTCAACTCCGCACCCCCTTTCGCACAGCACCTTCTTCTTTTCCTTCACTGTGCTTTTTCACAATGTGCAGTTAAACATATACTCACATGATTATTTTCTGTTTGCCTACCTGCTAGACAGTTAGCTCCATGCAGGCATATTTTTTTGACTGTGGTATATCTAATAGCTACCATGATGCCTGGCCATAGAAAGAGCTAGCTAGATAAATATTTGGTGAGTAAATGAACAAATGAATAAATTGCTAAATACCTATGTCTGTGTAACAGAAATGCCAAAAGTAAAACAGGACTTAAGGATTCTGTCTTTTAAAACACATTATGTAATAGGAGAAGTATCTTTGAGCAAATATGTACACAACTAAAGATTACACAGATTACACAACAGTAGCACATATTTGTCATCTTCCTCTGACTTAGCTAGGACACTCACATGCACGGAAAACTAAGAGGTCCCCTTCCCCAAGTGCCACTACCAACAGCAAAGGGGTACTCCCTGTTTTGCCCCCAGACTGTGGGGCAGAGTGATTATGGCAGAGGCAAGAAACAACATAGTCACAAGGCCAAGGGTTCAAATTCTACTAATGGTAACCACATCCTTCTATCTAGCTCTCATGTTTATAACTCCAATCAAAGACGACCCTTTCATTACCAATACTGCATAATCAGAACTTTCAGAGCAGACAAACCACTCTTGATAAGGTCACTCTGATGGAAAATGGGATGAGCAAGAAAAAGACAAGACAAACAATCCACCAGGGCTTGGGAAGGAAGGTACCAGAGAAAGGGAATCTGGGGTGAAGTCAACAACATAAACGGAAAAGCCACATGAGCTAACAACTGAGGCAAGTAAGGACAAGCAAAGGGGCCAGATGTCTTGATGGAATAAGAAGTAAGTGTAAAAACAAGTAGAATGAACTGGAGATTATGATCACTTTCAAGTGTCAATGGGAAAAGTGGAATGGAAGGGGCAGTCACTGAAACTGAGTTAAAGCACTCTGTGAACAATGGATGCCAATGTATGTCTAAACAGGGATTGGGAAGAAAGAAAGATTGGCCTGCATAGGCAGTGAATCACTGAAGTATGCAGGAGAGTGAACTGCAGGTCAGGGAGGTCAGGAGTAGGGTTAGGGCAGCTTAAGTTAATAATGTAGGGTTAAAAAGAAGAGACTGAACTGGAAACAGAGTAAGATCATTTCTAATTCCATGAATGGGAAAAGATGTAAAAAAAAAAAAAGAGTGAAAAGAATATATTGACAGAAACCAGGATTCAGTTAAAGTGAGGCAGTAGGAAGAGCATCTGAAGAAAAAGTTAAATAGATAAGAGATTGTGTCAAGGGGGCCAACAGAGAAAGTGAAAGCTGGAGTGACAGGGCAAACCTGGTCAGGAATGGGAGTCTGAGAGGGAACAGCAGGGAGGGATTTGTGACTAAGGTGCTAGGTTCAGGTAGGATGGAATACTAGGTTTGAGGCCCTCAATCTACAGGCACCAACTGGAATAAGATGCATGAGGGAAATGCAATATGGGGTGTTTGATCAGTTCACAATAAATATGTCTGGTCTACTCATCTCCCTTGGTCATGGTTGACTGCCCTAGACTGGGCCTATCAGATTCTCTTCCCTGAAATCTAAAACCTTTAAAAGAGATAGAAGGTAGTTGGAGTCAAGTCACTTTATAACACCCTTGAAAGAATATCCATGTTAACTACTGTTGATACTCTGGTTTGAACAAAACCTATCAACTTTTCCCCAAATTCTGAGAGCTGTAATCACCTATCCTTTAATAATTTCTCCATTTTTACTTTTTAAGCTGGAATCATTGGTGTTTCTTATCTGATTCAACATGGCTTCTGCCTAGAGCCAACTCTTTCATTTTGTAAATGAGTAAACTGAGGCCCTGAGAATGTATTTTTCCCAGGTTATAAAATGAGAGAAGGTCAAGACCAAAACCCAATTTGCCTACTACTAGTACTGTGGGTGATATTTTTAAACACAGATTTAGAAAGACAACTACCAAAAGATTTATAATCTATAAGACTTCAGGTAAAATGTAGTTATAGATATAAAACGTAACAGCTAAATTGAGCACATGGAGATGAGTAATGAGTAAGAAAGAGCCGATGACCCACCAATAGGACCTAATTTTTATATTCTATCATAATAGGAAACCTGAACAAAGATTTCTATAAAAATTTAAGAAAAATATCTAATACCATTGACTTAATATAAAACCTGAGATTTAAAAAAGTAAATATAACAAAAAAGGTACAGAGTCAGAGGAAGGAAAGATAAATGTGAAACACACAGACAAAATTATAAGGACCACGTCTATAATATAGAATATTTTTGGCACTTATCCCATGCTTAAAAACATCTGTCTTGGTGTCCTTCACCAAATATTCTTGAATTATAAAATGCTTCTCATATTCCTTGACTTTCTCCAATTCTGTTAATATTTCACCTCCTCCATTTCTCAGAATCTTTGTAAGCTGTTTTCCTTTGTTTTCCCTACAAAGTGTCCTTCCCTTCCCCAAATTTTTATTTTATTCCCCCTTCCCTAGCAAAAAATCTTGCCACTAAATATTCATCTTTCCTTTCCTGTTTTCTTGGTGCTTGATACTTACTGTCTAAACATCCCTCATTAATATAAGACAGTATAAATTGGTACATTATAGCAAACTTTTCCAGGTACTGCTTCAGAAACAATCACAGAAGCTTTTTAAATAAAAACATTAACAAAAGTGATCTGTTTCTAAGACTGAGTATAAATACCACATGTTGCTTCCATGAAACCATTCATTCCTCTTTGAAAGTAAAAATGAGAATTAAAGTCTCTTATTTGTTCCAGATGGTCCAAACCCATGATGATAAATTGTACAGCCAGTGACCGATACGAAATATTTCAGATAAATATAATTGTTTTCTAGAAAATGAAACTATATTATACACTAAAGAATTTCTTTAATTAAAAGAAAAGCTGTCATAAACCTAACAGGTAGAATATATCAACCAAAATGTAAACTGAGATTTTTGTCCCACTTATATATCAGAGAACATATAAAATAATCCTAAAAATTAACACTTTATTCACTTGAAATTTATGAGAAGACATATGTGTAGTAGACAACTTACAGCAGCGGTTCTCAACCTGTGGGTCGCGACCCCTTTGGCGGTCGAACGACCCTTTCACAGGGGTCGCCTAAGACCATCCTGCATATCAGATATTTACTTTATGATTCATAACAGTAGCAACATTACAGTTATGAAGTAGCAACGAAAATAATTTTATCGTTGGGTCACAACATGAGGAAATGTATTTAAAGGGCCAGAAGATTGAGAACCACTGTCTTACAGCCTTTAGCTCTGTGTACTTCCAACCTTTCTAAAAATTACACAAATTCAATTTCACATACACATAGATTACATGAAAATACCCACTACTCAATAGAAGGAAAATAACAAATCTTGATGTTGTTTATACCAAGATTTAATAAAAAACACTCTGTAGAATAAAGAATATAATTTAATTTTCAACTATTCTAAATTGATATATGCTAGCTTCACTATAACCTAAAACAGAGATTTATACTGAGATGGGCAGGAGGGATTTTCTCAACCCACCCCCAGAGGACATGTGGCAAGTCTTCAGACATTTTTGTTTTTCACAACGTTGGTGGCAGTTGGCAGTGGCTTGAGACTGATGTGCTGTGGGCATCTAGTGAATCAAGGGATGCTCCTAAATATCTTATAATGCATAAGACAGCCCTTCACAACCAAAAGTTATCCAGTCTCAAATGGTTGAGAAACACTGTCCTACAGAGAAATAAAATGAAAAGGACAAGGAATAACAAGGAATCACCAGGAGGCAGTCTGCTGAGCTCTTCCTAGCAGTGAAGGAGCCACCACCTACCTTGGATGCCTGTGGCGTGGATATCACGTGGACCGTGCTGGGTTTGACTCCATTAGCTTTGGGTCGTTTATAGAGGGCAAATCTACTTTTCCTCCGGCCTCTGTCTCCATTGGGTAAAGCACCATTGTACCTATAAACAAAGATGAAAGAGTTCACTTATTTAAAGATTTTTTTTAAAGTTTTAAGAAGGAAAGTTAGATGGAATAAGGGAAAAGATAGGAATGGTCATAAAGAATTGCCCACTAAATACCCCACAAAAGGAAATGGCTGCAAACAGACATCAGCTATAATGAAATTCAAATCACTTCCAGAAACTTAATTTAGGAGTGATGTACAATGTAATTATAGGTTTTATATTCTATAAAGTAAGACTCTTCAAATCTTTTTGTAAGGAGACAGAGTATAAATAAGCAAATGAGAATTCTACAGAGACTGTATTAGTGCTGTCTCAATTCAGCCAGCATCGTTGAATGGACCCCAGAGAAACACTCAAGAAATATTTCTAAATGAACTAGTTAGAAAATAGCATACTAATTAAACCTCACCTCTCACTCCCAAAACATGTTAATGTCTGTAGGATCTTTATTTGTAAGAAGACCAAATTTAGTTACTTGCATTCTTGTAAGTTCTAAATTCTCTACCCTCATTCCCATTTCTATTTGAACCTTATGCTGTCAGGTTATCCAAGAAATAGCTTGCAAAAATTAAACATAAGGCCCATAAAGCGATCCAAAGTAAAAAAAGATGAGTTTTAGTCCACAAACTGCCCAATAACTTTAAAAGTCACCTGGAAAACATCTGATGTCCTTAAGCAGATTTCCTGTATTAACTAGAGGCCTGGTGCACGAAAATCTGTGCACTCGGCAGGGGAGGGTGTCCCTCAGCACGGCCTACACCCTCTCATAGTCTGGGAGCCCTCAGGGGGTGCCCTACTGATGGCTTAGGCCCACCTCTGTAGGAGGCAACCAGGCGGGCCAATCAGTGAACAGCGCTGCCCCAATCACCCCACCGCTGCCGGCCTCCCTCTGTGGGAGGTGACCGAGCGGCCGACCAGGGGATGGCACCAGAAGGCACAGCCCGCCTCACCCCCCCATCACCCCTCCACCACCACTGGTAGCTGCCGTCTCCACCTCCTTCGCCATCCTCCCTCTTCCTGCTGGCACAGGCCTTGGCTGGCATGGTGCCGCCTGCTCACCGGCCCCACCCCTCACCGACTGGTCATTCCGCTGTTTGGTCAATTTGCATATTACGCTTTTATCATGCAGGACTAGAGGCCCAGTGCACGAAATTTGTGCAGGGGGGGGGGGGCGGTCCCTCAGCCTGCCCTGCACCCTCTCCAATCCAGGACCCCTCGGGGATTGTCTCACTGCCGGTTTAGGCATCGGGCCTAAACAGGCAGTCAAACAACCCTCTCGCAATCTGGGACCGCTGGCTCCTAACCACTCATGTTCCTGCCTGCCTGCCTGATTACCCCTAACCCCTCTGCCTGCCGACCTGATTACCCCTAACTGCCATCCGCTGCCAGCCTGATTGCCCCTAACTGCTCCCCTGCTGGCCTGATCGCCCCTAACCACCACTGCCTCAGCCCCCACCATTGTGGCTTTGTCTGGAGGGAGGACTGGATGACCGGAAGATGTCTGGTTGACCCGGTCTAATTAGCATATTACCCTTTTATTAGTACAGATTCCTTAAGATAATACCAGTGTTTAAAATAAATGCAGAATTGCCCATCAAGCATGGCTCAGTGGTTGAGCATTGACCTATAAACCAGGAGGTCATGGGTTCGATTCCTGGTCAGGGCACTTGCCCAGGTTGTGGGCTCGATCCCTGGTAGGGGGCTTGCAGGAGACAGCTAATCAGTGATTCTCTCTCATCATTGATGTTTCTATCTCTCCCTCTCCCTTCCTCTCTGAAATCAATAAAAATATATTTTAAAAAAAAGACAGCAGCCAACACAATAACTGTCTGGTGTGAGTAAATCAAAATAAAAAATAAATAAATGCAGGATTGAAGGCAGCGTTTCTGTTTTCAACTGTATTTTCTAACTCTAAAGTAACCAGCCTATGGATGAGGACAGTGGGGGGGTGGGGGGGGAGTAAGTGTAGGGGGTGGGGTGGGAACCGGGTGGAGGGGGGCTATGGGAGGAAAAAGAGGAACAACTGTAATAATCTGAACAATAAAGATTTATTTAAAGAAGAAAAAAGAAAAGAAAACAGATGGCTCCTCTCTGCCTCCGTAGGTTTACCTAAAATCAGATAAGCAGACCGTAGTTCTTTTTAGTGTTTGCGAGGGCTCCAGCAGGACCTGAAGGAGCCCTCCCCACCCCCAGCAGACTTGTGCTGTGTTAGCTGGAGATAAAGAGTGTGGTGCTGATATTTGTAATCACTGTCCTTTGAAATACTGAATTAAGAAGTAGTTTACCTGATCCCCCCCACCCCCCAAATATCACACTTCATTAAATTGATTTGTAATTATTCCTGGAATTTAAACAAACAAACAAACAAAACAAAATAAATTAAAATAAATTAAAATAAAATAATAAAATAAATTAAAATAAAATAAAATAAAATAAAATAAAATAAATAAAATAAATAAAATAAAATAAAATAAATAAAATAAAATAAAATAAAATAAAATAAATAAAATAAAATAAATAAAATAAATAAAATAAAATAAAATAAAAAATAAAATAAAATAAAATAAAATAAAATAAAATAAAATAAATAAAATAAAATAAAATAAATAAAATAAATAAAATAATAAAATAAAATAAAATAAATAAAATAAAATAAAATAAAATAAATTAACCGACCTTTGTGTGTTCCAATCGCTGTCTCAAGTTGCCACACTGACATGACAATTCTCTACCTCTACCTTGGAAATTCTTTTCCAGAAGAGAATCCAAAGAAGGTCACATTTACTTGAGTAAGTATGACAGCTCCTCGGTTCCTTCCGAGCCACAGAGGCAGGGGCAGCACCTCTGGTGGCTTGTCTCTGTCTTAACTCTCTTGCCTTTGCCACTTGTCCACTCACACCCAAAAGAAGGGCATGGTGGCCAGTATGGCAGAGAGGGGACATGAGGACCACTGAGAACAGTAAAGGTTAAAATCAAGTGGTTTTGTTTCTATGTTTTACAACTGGGTAGCTAAAGTATGACAATGGATTTTAATTTTCACCAGAAGTTATTCCTGCTGTGTTTTAATATTACCATTTCCATCACAAAGGAATGTCAGCTACATAAAAATGTGTCTAGAATACAGAGATAATTTATTTCAAGCCTGTTCATATCCTTTTTCTGATGCAAGATCAGAACAGTGTACATTATTTTTAAAACATATGTGTGATTAGTATAATGAACATATCCATGAGTAAACAACCATTAAAAACCCACTTTGTTTTAATATTTTTCCATATCACTTAAATCGAGATGAACATTCTGTATTAAGAAGAAAGAATGAATCAATTAAAGCCAGGACTCTAAACAATGCAGAGGAAATTTTCACCACTGTAGCCTAGAGGCAACTGGTACCAGATCTGGTCAGATTTCCTGCGCGCGCATGCGCGCGCACACACACACACACACACACACACACACACACACACACACACACGTTTCCCTAGCTCTTTGATGCATCTTCCTCTCAACTATCCTCTGGTCAAAAGGATCTATCCTAATAAGAGTATGGCACACACGTTTTAGTGATCTGCTCGCAACAACACTATCCCTTCACTGCCTAAGGTGAGCCCTAACACCTTTTGTGAATGAAATGGCTGGGCCAGGACTCTCCGCCCTGCCCTGGCTGGAGGTGGACATCTGGCCCAAGCTGGCCAATGACATCCTTATCCTGGAAAACACAAAAATGAGACAGACATCCAGCCCATCTATGTGGATGGTTAGAGCTGTATAATATAAGCAGGGGAGCCATGGGGATGTCACAATCTGTTATGTCCATGAAGAAGCAGAGAAAAGTGAGGGATGAAGCAGACGAACAGAGACAAGTGGCAAACAAAGATGAAGAGAGAGGATCCTTTAGGGCTTCCATTGGCCCAGATATACTCTGACCCTTGTTCATAAAATTCTTTTTAGTTTCAGCTAAGTCAAATGGGTTTCTGTTACTTACCTATTATAAAGGGAATAACACAAAAACCAGAAATGTCAACCTTAACCTATGAAGAGATATTTTAACTTAAATTGCCTGAGCACAGATGCAGATATTGCAGGTTAAGTGATATGCCCGTCTACTTATACTGACTACTTACTTAGTACATTTAGGTCAGTGAAAAATGCTATTGGAAATAACTAAGATAGCAGTGAAAAACCAGAGTTAAGAGACAAGTTTCTACTTAGGATAAGCGACATGGTCATTCATTCAACATTTATAATGCCAAGTACTAGGGCTACAACAATGAACATCAGCTTCCCTGTCATTACAAAACTCTCCGCTAAAAGCAAAGAAAGGCACAAAACCAAGTGTAATAAAAACACTTATGTAAGTGCATTCATCATTTTATGCACTAGTAGCAACAAGTAGTAAGGAAGGCTTTACTAAGAGACACTGCTTGAACTATCTTGAACTCTGAACAAAACTAAATGTGGGAAACAGTGTATACAAAGGCAAGGAGGACTATAGGTAATTCAGTACTGCCAGAGCATTAAGTTCAAGAGGAAAGGAAACAATGGGAAAGGAGGATAAAGGGGCCAGGTTATAACACCTGGTACTCCATGATAAGGGGCATACCCTCAGAGGAATGGGGAACCTGGTAAGATTAAAATGATTGGATATACAATGAGTTCTCACATAATGTTGTTAAATAGGTTTTGCAACTAAAAGCAAAATGACACATAATGAAACCAATTTCACTATAGGCTAATTAATATAAACAAAAGTTAAGTTCCTATGGTATCTCATCTACACTAATAAAGGAGAAACATGGTAATTGGAGTATGACCGCTACCCTTTTCACTGGCTAATCAGCAAGATATGCAAATTAACTGTCAGCCAAGATGGCGGCAGGCAGCCAGGCAGCTTGAAACTAACATGAGGCTTGGTTGCCTCAGTGACGGAGGAAACCAACGTTCCCCGCCTGCGGCTGCAGGCCTCTGAGCAGGCAGTTTAAGAAACTCTGTAACAAATACCACTGGACTTCAGCCAGCAGATTCGCAACATTGTAAGTAAAGGCCAGAAACCTACTTTCAGCCGCGGAGGCCTAAGAGCTGGAGCCAAGCCTCAAGCTAAAGCTGGCCCAGAATAAAAAAAAAAAGAAAAGAAAAAAAGGAGCAGTTGGGAGCTTCAGTCAGCCCCAGCCTGAAAACAGTCCTCAGCCCCTTACCCAGACTGGCCAGGCACCCCAGTGGGGACCCCCACCCTGAAGGGTGTGTGACCAGCTGCAAACAGCCATCATCCCCTCACCCAGGCTGGCCAGGCACCCCAGTGGGGACCCCCACCCTGATCCAGGACACCCTTCAGGGCAAACCAGCCGGCACCCAACCGTGCACCAGGCCTCTATTCTATATAGTAAAAGGGTAATATGCCTCCCGGCACCGGGATCAGCGTGACAGGGGGCAGCGCCCAAACCCCCTGATTGCCCTGCGGCTGTGTGTGTGACAGCGGGTGGGGCCACAACCTCCCTATCCGCCCTGCTCTGTTCATGACAGGGGAAGGCTCCCCAACCCCCTGATCGGCCCTGCTCTGTGCCTGATAGGGGGAAGCTCCCCAACCCCCCCACCCCCCACGGGCCCTGCTCTGTGTGTGACGGGGTAGAGCCATAACCTCCCCATCGGCCCTGCCCTGAGTGTGAGAGTGGTGGCGCCCCAACCCCCTGATCGGCCCTGCTCTGTGGGTGATAGAGGGCGGTGCCCCAACCCCCTGATTGGCCCTGCTCTGTGCGTGACCGAGGGTGGCGCCGCAACCTCTCTATCGACCCTGCCTTGAGTGTGACAGGGGGCGGTGCCCCAACCCCCCAATCGGCCCTACCCTGATCGTGACTGAGGGTGGCATCACAACCTCCCAATCTCCCTGCTCTGTGCATGACAGGGGGCAGCACCCCAACTCCCCAATCCGCCCTGCTCTGTGCATGACAGGGTGCGGCGCCCCAACTCCCCAATCGGCCCTGCTCTGAGCCCGACCAGGGGCTGCACCTAGGGATTGGGTCTGCCCTCTGCCACCCGGGAGCAGGCCTAAGCCAGCAGGTCGTTATCTCCTGAGGGGTCCCAGACTGCGAGAGGGCACAGGCCGGGCTGAGGGATCCCCTCTCCCCCCCGAGTGCACAAATTTTTGTGCACCGGGCCTCTAGTCTATAATAATAAAAGCGTAATATGGTAATTAGCCAAACGACCTTCTCGACGTCATTCTGGATGTCCTTCTGGACAAAGCCACCGTGGCGGGGGCCGAGGCAGAGGCGGTTAGGGGCGATCAGGCAAGCAGGCAAGCAGTTAGGGACAATCAGGCAGGCAGGTGAGCAGTTAGGGGCGGTCCGGCAGGCAGGCGAGTAGTTAGGAGCCAGCGGTCTGGGATTGTGAGAGGGATGTCGGACTGCCGGTTTAGGCCCGATCCCTGCGGCAGCCGAACGTCCCCCAAGGGGGTCCCAGATTGAGAGAAGGTATAGGCCGGGCTGAGGGCCCCCCCCCCATGCATGAATTTCGTGCACCAGGCCTCTAATCAACATTGTAATGAAACTAGTGGCCTAGTGCACGAATTTGTGCACATTGAAATTAATTAGAAAAAATATTTTAATATCACTATTCACCCTTTTTCTATAACAGAAGTGTCAATCAAATTCATGATTGACAATGACAGATGAAAACACACGTGTGATTGGCACCAGCAAGAGCTTCATATGTATCGCACATGCATTAGTCAACTTAGCCTTTCATATATATGGGATAAACTTGCTTAATTAGACCTGCTTTCTGATTTAGCTAAACTTTTTCCAGCCCAGTGAAGCACCCCAACTTCTCTTTCAGGTAACTGTCAGCAACACAGCAGTAAATATCAACACAACGCAGATTATTATTGTAGATCCTGAAGGGAGAACGAAGGGTAAAATATTTAACTGCAGCAGTGTTTGACTATATTCTGGGCAGTGAGAAAACCTGAAGTTATTTTCAAAAGAAAATAGGATTCCAGTAAGTCTCCTATCTACCTACTTCAGAACTTCTGTGAGTATCAAATGAGATGAGGCATGGGAAAACACTTCACAGATATTTGGTTAAAATGTAAATGTTTCCACCTGGCTATAAAGCAAGTCATGTTCCTGGGCTGAAGAAACTGCAAGGAGGAAGTTGCTAGGGAGAGAAAGCCAGGAAGTCGGGAGTTGCTACGTGACGTCATTACCCAGCACCCACAGCAACCATTTTCGGGCCGGCCATAGGTTTTCAGCAGCGTTGGCTGTGATTTGGTGGCTGTCACTCCAGGGTGGTGGCAGGGCCTGTGTCCACTTGGGAGAAGCTGAGTGTTGCACGTGTTGCTACATCGGCCAGGTCCATGCTGCTGCTTCTCGGTAAATGGCAAGTGTGTGTCATGGCAGCTCCTGGTGGTCAGTGTGTGTCATAGCGACCAGTTGGACAGTGGGAAGGACACTTAGCATATTAGCCTTCTATATACATACACACACACACACACACACACACACACACTAGTGGCCCAGTGCACGAAATTCATGCACAGTAAAAGGGAATTAGAGGATATATTTTAATATTGCTATTTGCCCTTTCTCTATAGTAGAAGTGTCAGAGATGAAAGAAAATTAGTAAAATGTATATGAAAATCTTTCTCCTGTCAGAGTCTGGGGCATGCCGCGGGACCCAGAGTCAAGTCCCTGCCCACCCATGTGCACCTCAAAATTGCGCAAGACCCAGACCCAGACCCGACCAACCCCACCCCCATCAAGCCCTGCCGGGGGGCGGGGGGAAGGGGGCGCAGCCTCAGGTCCCCTGTCAAGCCCCACCAGGTGGGGGGGCGCAGCCTCTGGTCCCCCATCAAGACCCGCTGGGTGGGGGATGCAGCCTCAGGTCCTCCGGCCCAGCACCAGGGCAAGGGGTGCGACCTGAGGTCCCCTATCAAGCCCCACTGGGCCAGGGGTGTGGCCTCAGGTCTCCTGGCCCAGCACCAGGGCAGGGGGTGTGGCCTGAGGTCTCCGGCCCGGTGCCGGGGGGGCACAGCCTGAGGTCCCCCGTCCCAACCTAGCACCACGCAGCCTCAGGTCCCTGCTCATCACTCATTATGGCTCATTTTGGGAACCCCGCCTCTGCTGTGGGCGTGGCCATCTTGTGTTATGGGAACCCTTCCTCCGCTGTGGGTACAGCCATCTTGTGACAGCATGACAGAGTAAGGGTCAATTTGCATATTACCTCTTTATTATATAGGATAGATAGATGACTCTGTTGAACAATAGTATTCAAAGACTGCTGTATAAAGTAGCTCCAGCCCAGTGCAGACAATTAGCGACCAGAAGATCAGGTGGGGAGAGCTATCATAGCCACAGGAGCAGTACAGTAGCCTGAATAGTAGCCTCCAGACTTATGTCCATGTCCCAGACAGGTGAATGTGACCTTATCTGGAAAAAACAGTCTTTGCAGATGCAGTTAAAAGACGGATCCCAGAATGAAACCATCCTGGATTACAGGTGGGCCTTAAATCCAAAGACAAATGTCTTTATGAGAGACACACAGTGGAGACACACACAGGGAGAGGGAGGAGAAAACTGTGTGAAGATGGAGGCAGAGACTGGAGTTGGCAGTCACAAGCCTAGGAATGCCTGGAGCCATCAGGGCAGGAGGAGGCAAAGAAGGCTCCTCCCCTAAGGCCATCAGAGGTAGCACGGTCCTACCAACACCTGGATTCCAGACATGAGGCCTCCAAAACAGTGAGAGAATAAATCAGTATTTTAAGCCACCATGTTGGTGGTAATTTGTTGTGGCAGCTACAGGAAACTCTACAGGCCTAACCCGAAGCAGTGATGGTGGAAATGAGAAAAAATTTAGAGTGTTCTCAATGGTAGGAGAACATCATAATCACCAGGGACGCTTTATAAAAATAGGAATGCCTGAGTCTCAGGAGATTCTGATTCAGTATTTCTGGGACAGGGCTCCAGGTGTGCACAATGTAAAAGGTCCACAGGTGATGCTTGCTTGCAGCCACAGTCAAGAACCTTGATTTTAATGGCAAAAATCAATAGTACTTGGTGACTTGTTTAGCTACACAGAGCAAGGGACAGAGAAAGGGGATGTCATATAGGCTTCTGACCTAGGCCAGGGTGACAGCATCAATTAAAGAGGACTGGGAATTACAGGGACATCTAGGGGAAGGCATGTAGGAGAGGAGGCAACAAAGGTTACAGACTTGGGTGCTTTCACCATACAAGTGTCAGTTAACATCGTGAGAGTAGATGAAATTAAATAAGTAAAGAAGGCAAGGACAGATACTGGAAATAAAACCATTTAAAGAAAGAATCCCATCTTAGTCACAGGCAGAAGGATGAGGACCAGAGAAAGTTGTATCGCCAAAGACAAGAGAGAATTTCAACAGCGTTAATCAGTTAGTAGAACAAAAATGCACAAATATGATTTGGAAAAGACCAGAACATTGGTCACCTCACCCATCTTCAAAGCACACAATCAAAGTTAAAAATAAGCAAGCCCACTCTGGCTGGACTGCTCAGTTGGTTGAAGCAGCATCCCACACAGGTTGTGGGTTCAATCCCCGATCAGGGCACATACCTAGGTTTTGAGTTCCATTCCTGGTCGGGGCGTGTACAGGAAGCATCTGATCAATGTTTCTCTCTCACAACAATTTCTCTCCCTCCTTCTCTTTCTCCCTCCCTCCCTTCCAATCTAATCTAAAAATCAATAAAAACTTTATTCTTGGGTGAGGATTAAAAAAAAAGCAATCCCCTCCAACTGTCAGTCTTACTCTGATCACCATCCCACTTCCATCTTTTCCTCACAGCCAAGAATCTTGGAAGAGTACTTCACACTGAATATCCCACTTCCAATACTTGTTGAATCTTCAATCCACTACTGCTTGATCTTTGCCTCAAAATCTGAAAGTGCACCTGGTCATGTGTCATGCACCTTCCACTCCATCTGACTGTCTCTCCTGAAAGTCCACCAGTGGCTCTCCCATCAAGGAACACAGTGTGGTAAATCAAAGATAAGTAAATTCCCATTACTTATTCCACTGAGAAGTGAGTCTAAGCCCCCTCCTTAAACCTGGGCTGGCCATAGTGACTTGTTTACCACCAGGATGGGGAGGAAATGAAGGTCGGAGATTTCCAAAGCCTGGTCTGAAAAAGCTTGCAGTTTCCGCCTGGGTCTCCTGGAGCTTTGAGCTGCCATGTAAGAAACCTGGGACCTCCATGCTGAGGAGGAAACGCACAGGGACTCCAGTTGGAAGTCCCAGCTGTACCTCCCAACCACCCTAAGGTACCAGTTGTGCACTTGAAGCCATGTTGGACCCTCCAGACCAGCCATTCCATCAGCTGTCTTCCACCAAGTGACATCAGTTGATACCATGTGGGACAGAAGAATTGCCCAGCTGAATACTGTCCAAATTCCTTACCCACAGAATCAGTAAATAAAATGGTTGTTGTTTCAAGCCACTCAGCTTGGCGTAGCTGGTTACACAGTAATAGATGTCTGGAACAAGCCCAACCCTTCAGCACAGTATCCCTCTCCCTGCTTCAGTCTCTCCTTCCTCCCTGACCCAATTCCAGTGAAGCACTGTCTCCTCCTGAACTTCAGAGTCTTCCCTCCCCCTCTTGCCTCCCCATCAGCCCCTCTCCCCCCTAGAAAATGGAGAGCCCATCTCCAGCACCTAGCACAGTGCATGGGGCACACGGCAGGCACTAAAACCCTCCAGAGGTTCTCAACCTGTGTGTCGCGAACAATGAAAATACATCCCGCATATCAGATATTTATATTACGATTCATAACAGTAGCAAAATTACAGTTATGAAGTAGCAACGAAAATAATTTTATGGTTGGGGGTCACCACAACATGAGGAACTGTATTAAAGGGTCGCAGCATTAGAAAGGTTGAGAACCACTGCGAGTCTAAACCAACTACATGATGGGACAGAAGGACTGTCTTTTGTATAGCAGAGTAGAGCCCAGACACGAAAATAAGATTCTGCATACCAAGGCAAAAGGTTATTATTCTACAAAAAATCAGAATGTTTCCTGGCCTGGCAAGCTGTCCAGTCAGTAGGATTGTAGAAACAAGATTTCCAAGTGCTGCCGACACACCTGTTTCAGCTGCTGAACAGGGGTACCTTGATTCAACCCCACAAGTTGCCTTTCAAGCTTCACAGTTAAAAATAAATCTGGAGACTTGTTTAGTAAATGTGTAATGAAAATTTAACTATTCATATAGGCAAAGCAAATAGTTGGTCATCATAATAAAGGTACTTGGAAGCTGCAAAGGATAAGGAAAACCCTGTGTAAGAAACCTCAGAATAATAAAGGGTTTTTCTTGGATGAAAATTCAGAGTTCACGTATTAAGGTTTTTTAATAGCATTTGCTATGCATTTACTATGTACCAATAAGCCCTGAGATATTACTACTCCTAGTGGACAGATAGAAGGCTTGAATGGTTGAACACACAAATTTGAACTAGGACAGGGCAGACGGGACCCAAATCCACACCTGGTTTTGTCTGATTCCAAATATCTCTTTCCAGTAGATGACACTGACAATTTTTAAATTCAAGGAGTTTCTTGGAATACAACACCGAGTCTTGAAAGGATGTCTGCCATCTAAAAGTGCATTTGTCAAAATAAAATTTTCTATAGGAAACAACAGCAAGAGAGAGGATGCCGGGAGGCTCCCAGTCACAACTTGGAGGCGTCACATTTGATGTTAACCAGCCTGAATACACAGAGCAGCACCCACGTGGCCTTGGGAGAGAGAATGTGGGCTACATTGAAGAGGCATCATCACCGCCAAATGATCCTGCTCCACGGGCAGCCTGCTTCTCATTACTGACTGAAGGCTCTGCCCTCCGTCGAAAGCAACGTCTTGTCACAGATAAGTCACAAGCAACTATTGTAACCAAAGTAGACTGCACTGCAGATGAACAGACCAGTGACATTAGAGACCAGAGACTCAAGGCTGGGCAGAGTTTGATAAACCCCTGAAACGTGGCATCTGTCTTCAGGGAGCACAACTAACTCATCACAATAGTGAATGCACGACTGCAACTGTGTCTAAGAAAATGCACAGAAACCAGTACGTTCCTGGCACTGGCAGTACATCATTGTAATCCCACCTACAAGACCGGTACACGAATTCATGCACGTTGAAAGGAAATTAATTAGAAAAAACGTTTTAATATCACTATTTGCCATTTCTCTACAATAGAAGTGTCAACCAAATTCACAATCTACAATGACAGATCGAAACACACATGTACTATTGGCGCCAACAAGAGCTTTATATATATAGACTTGCTTAATTAGACCTGCTTTCTGATTTAGCTAAACTTTTTCCAGCCCAGTGAAGCACCCCAACTTCTCTTTCAGGTAACTGTCA